AATTCTCGGCACAATTTGCTATTCATTCCTAAATTTCAAGAGGCACCAATGATGTAGGAGGCATTTGGTGGGTGAATATCTTAATTTTCCAGGACTTAGAAAGTCTTTGTGATTCAACACTTGCTTTTGAGGAAGCATAGACAATGATATGGACACTGAACATGGCACTGTCAAAGACATGCAGACATATCTGAAATATCTAAATAGAATTCAAAATATCATGTGCGTATAATATGACTCTTGTACATGTATTGAACATGAACGTGACCCCGTTTTTAAGTGTTTGTGCTTCATAGCGCTTGGGACATAAAAATCGCATTTATTCCTATATTATTTAGAATATAGACAACAAAAAATTTAAACTTCCTCTTCGTTATATTCAAACATCCTGAAGATCAATTATCTGACAGCCAAATAGCATCTTAAGGAATTTAGATAAGCAAAATAGACTGTCCAAGAGATATAAAGAAATTAGGGCAGGCAGTCTAGTAGGTTTAAGAAATAGTTTTTTGTAGTACATCCAAAATAAAGGGTACATGTAGTACTATCGTGCGGCTATATTAAATAGAATAACAATTTAACATTTCAATAATATATGTTTTGTCCGGCCTCTTCCTTCTTTCTCTTCCACAAACATGTACCACCCACACACAACCTCTATGAGAGGCAATCAATTCAGAGGGGACTTACAAACAAGCCAAACCCAGCCAGAGCCAAACAATGTGAGGGCAGCTTCAATAAACTTCTCTCTAAAATTTGTAAACGAACCAAAATCCTTTTCAATCTGTTGAAGGAGACCTAGTTTGGGCATCTCACCCCCTCCTGGTTGCATAGATTCCCAAAAGAAGTCATGATTCCAAACCTGCACATGGAGGGCCATGAGTAGGTATAGCGTCTTAACGACACTAATCCTAGATAAGACACTGTTTAGCTGTCTTGTAATTTTATTGCTAGATATTCTGGAAAATAAAAAGAGATTTACTTCCGTTATTGTCAATGAGATGAACAAGACAGGATATGCCAACAGACATGTCACAAAATGGAGCTAAAACAAATTCATTTTGTAAAATGTGAGGGGGAAGTCCTCTATTGCAAGTCCATAACAAGCACAGCCTTGTAATTTGAGGGAATTTTAAAATAAGACCAAAAGGGAGATATCTTCTTTAGACATGTACAGTTCGGGGGAAATTCTAACCAAGTATGGCTAAAATACATTAAATAAAATTTCATTAAGCTCAAAAAGCTATATATATATTTATCAAAAGGTAAGCATCTGGATGAGAGGATAATATGTGGAACGGATGTCTCGTGTGCATCCATTTTGCTCTAGAAGATTTGAGCAAAATCAAGTTATTGCCTTCGTAGACCAAGCACTTTTACAGCCTGGCAACATGAACAAATAGCTACGGTGCAAAATTTTTTGGTTAACATGAAGGATAGAGATTCTCTGAGAAACATAAAGGGCAAGGCCCAATACCCATCCCCAGGTTGCATCCATGCATAAATTAACTCTTTAATATTGCTCCAAGTAAATTAACAAATAGTATGTATGTTTACAGCCAATTCTGTTGTACCGCTTGAGCAGTTAACCAATGTCATTCTCAAGCTCCTTTTTATCCTATTCAACGCCGCTTGCTTCCATGCTGTAGCATTTGCATATCTATGTTGTACATACTGAAACAGTGGAATACTCTCCCTTTTCCAATGCCGAAGTGAAGCCACATTTCTTTTTGGTGACAGAAGTGAAGCCATGTTATCCGTAACCAGTTCCAGATATCTTCAATTTTTTCCTTTCTAAGTATTGTTCTGTCTTACTTTACATCCACATAAATGTTATGGTATATATGCGAGTGATTCATATTCCAGCAATAACGATGAGATATGATTGCAAAGATGCAGTAGAAACGAAGCTACTAGATGCAGTCTATTGATGAGGGGTTTATAGCAAGAGATCATATTCAGTCCTCCACTCAATTATGTACCACCAAAAAAGGACACATTGGAAATATAATCCTACAGCTGAAAGATCAAGGCTCAATATTTTAATAGGTATGTATATACAGTTACAACACATAGCCTATATTCAGCACATGTCACCGGAAAAAAAAAATGTGGTTGTGAAAATTCTCTGCAATAACATCTACCTTGTCATTTGGCATGGTGATCAGCTACATTTTGTAAAGAAATTCTCCGCAATATTAATTTCTTACCCGTTACATTATTCTCTATATAAAATACTTTTTATGAAAGCAAACTCCTGCAGCCAACTCCATCATATTGAAGGAGGTTGTGAGAATTATGTGTTACGAAGTTTCCTTATTATGAAGTTAAAAGCACCTCATATGCTTTAATTTACTATACATAGATGCAAGTAGATTCCAAGTCTCAAACAAATGAAACAAATCATCGAAGTCAATCTACTGAATGTAATATAAGTACCTCGGCTGCATTGTTGAATTCTGGTAAGGGATTCCCATTATTGTATGTTTCTTTGACTAGCTCATCCATGGTGTAGCCATATAGTAGGTCATCCTTCTCCAACTGCTTGTTTAAACCTTCCACAAAGTTCCGATGAAGTTCCCCCCAATGTACGTCAATTGTCCTCTTGCTCATATACGGCTCTAATGCATCCTAAGAACAATGAAGCAACAAATAAATGGACAAGTCAAAATTGGTTGGTCAACTGTATATACAAGGTTTAACTTGATATTTGCAAATAGTTGATTAATTATGTAGACTTTAGATCATGCATGATTGTGAGAGGAAATAGTCATTTGTCGGGAAAAAAGTTGTTGCCTGAAAACAAAAAAATTAACAATGATTAATATGCGAGTCAGATCACATTTAAGTTTTTATTATAATCCAAATACCTAAAAGGAAGCAAGAAAATAGAAGAGAAAGAAAGAAAGAAAGAAAAGTGAGCACGAACAAGCTGAACCAAAGTAAAAAATATAGCCTAAACAAATCATATTTCAAGTTATCACTATGGTGGTAGTTAAAAAAGAAATATCACGCAAGTTTATTAAAGATTTGCCGTTCAGAATGAGGGGGAAAACAGTGGAAAGGAAGGAGAGAGACAATGCATAGAAGAGTGAGAAAAGATAAGCAGAAAGAAACTTGAGAATAGTTATCTAAAATAGCAGTTTTCTAACAAAAAGACACTCTTTACTTTGGGTAAACTACCAGTAACTCCTTACTTAATCTACAAGAATTTAATTGATGTTTAATACCTCAGCTAACAAGTCACGTGTAAAATGAAAGCGCTTTCAACAATTATCTTTTTTATATGCTCATTGCCGTGGTAGTTGATGCATGTGCCAGCACAATAAAACGATCTTTACGCTTGCACATGCACAAACAAGTTTATAATTCTGTGAATATTCACTTACAAGTTTATAGGGAGGGGTCTTCAAGCCATAAAATGCAGTAACTTTTGAAGATCTTGGATAAACATCAAACCTTCTTTTGGCCTGTGTTGATGACATAAAAAATAAGCACATACTAGATAGGGTTGCCGTGCCAAAAAGATGAATTTCTTATAACAAAAGACATAAAGAGAACTTCAATGATATGAAAGTAGTCTATAGAAAATGCAGAAAAAACAATTTGCCCGGTCAACTACCATTGCAGTAAATCCCCAAGGACTAAAATTTTTTTTTTTTTCCAACAAAAGATTAATGTGGTGTCCCAATAAGCACTCCATGTTGTTATGAACCCGTTATGCAAATATATATATATATATATATATATATTTCCATGTGCATTAGTCGACCAACATTAAGCAATGTTCTCAAAGCAATTCTTGTTAATAACTTATTCTCCTTCAAGATTAAAAAAACAACAATTTTGTCAAAAATATGGAAAATTCCGTAACTGAAATCCTGCCCATGAAATTAAATTTTTCATTTTTAAATCCTAATTTCCTAAAGTTGTATGACAGCTTAAATTTTATAACATGAAACAATTTTGTACGATTGTCATACAAGCCATAAAGATTACTTCACATTATACATCTTAAAACACAATCTAAAAATGGTGGAATTAGCATCATACTCTTTGAAAAACAATATGCAAGAAATACTGACAATTTACCTTTAGTGCAACAATTGTCCATAGCTTTAAGGTAAAGAAAGTTAAATAACATGAAAGAACAATAAAATAACCAAACAATGAATATCAGTAGTAGGATGTTACCCTGTGGAGAAGCTGTGGAGTTTTTAACTGCCTGAGGAAGTCTGATGAAATGAAATGAGATCTAGTTGGAAAAGAATTACAGCAATAAGAAGCCATTGCAGCTCTGTTCCCTGGAATTAACACAAGTTTATCAGATCATTGGTTAATGATTACTTGTGCTACACAAAGCAACCACTTTAATCCCAAACAGTGAATGCGATTTAAACATTCAATCCGGTGTCATTTTCAAAATCTCAATAGACCAGGATACAGAGCAAAGGAATAGATATCTGGGGATGGATAAAACAGTAACATAAACATTGAAAAATTCAGACATCTCCAAAGAATAGAAGCACAAACCTCTACTACTACAGATATATCATGTATTAGAAATACACCAATTTCCATCTCGGTTGAGTCACTTTGACAAATATGCTATTTCCTTTTTTATGGGTTGAACAAAATATTTGTGTTGTATTCCAACCCACATGATCTAAGAGGCTTAAAACTCGAATAAAATGGACAAAAATATTAAAATTCAAAACGTCAAAGGATTGGTGATCTAAATCAAGATGTAACAAGACTGAATTTACAGGTTAACAATATATTGACTTATAACTTATTCAGTTAATTTTTCCAAATATAGGAATACTTTTACCTGAAACTAAGTTATAGATGTCCTGTCATTCTTATTTGCCATCTCCTTTTCCTATATGGTTACAATAACATATAACAAAAAAAATAGGAAGGATGATTCCACCTTCTCAACAGTCTACAATGACATGGACCTACACAACTCTAGCTTCTTCATAATCTGTGAACTCAGTTTATGTCTCGATCCAACTATATGCTAGACCTTTTGCAACACCTCTGTCAGTCATTTTCCTCCTCAAGTTCGCAGCATCCTCCCAACTACCACTTTCAGAGTAAACCTTTCCTAACAGTACATAACCTGCCTCACTTTCAGGAAATAATTGAAGTAACCTCCCAGCAGCCCATTCCCCCAATGCTCTATTTTCATATATCCTACAACCGCTGAGTAAGGTTCTCCAAATAGCTGGCCAAGTAGTAAATGGCATTGCTTCTATTACCAATTTAGCATCTTCAAGGTAACCATTTCTCGAAAGCATATCAACCAAACAACCATAAATTTCAGGAGATGGTCTCAAGCCATAATCTAAACTCATTGATTGAAAGAGAGAACAACCTACATGGATAAGACCATTATGACTGCAAGCTGATATCAACGAGATGAATGTGGCTTGGCTAGGATGTACGTTAGCTGATTTCATCTTCTCAAAGATATCCATAGCTTCAACAACAAGACCTTGGTGTGCATAAGCCATGATCATGGCATTATATATAACAACATCAAGCAAATTGAGAGACTGGTCAAAAGCCACTCTTGCATTCTCTATGTCTGAGCATTTTGCATAGGCATCAATAAGAGCACTTGCAACAAATGGATACACACAGCATCCCAATTTTATAACTAAAGCATGAAAAGATTTCGCCTGTCGATAAGCTGCAACACTAGCACAGTTATTTAAAATACTGGCCAAAATAAAATCATCAGGACTTTCACCAGCTTTCATAAGCAGTTGCAAGAATTTGAATGCTTCATGATTAAGGCCTTGATGAACCAGTGAAGAAATCATGGTTCCCCAAGAAACCAAATCTAACTTCTCAGGTTCATTGAAGAACGGGTAGCAATCATCTAGTAGCCCAAAGGTACTATAACATTTAATTAATAAACTACAAATATAGTCATGCGAATGGAATCCAGATTTAAGGAGGTCACAGTGAAGCTGTCTGCCAATCTCTTGGCTTTCAGATCTACAACAAGCTTCTAGAGTGTTTGAGTAGGTGTATTCATCTGCTTCAAAACCCAATTCTCGCAGATTATTGAAGTCTTTGATTCCTTCTTCATAGAAGCCGTTTATAATATATCCAGAAATCAACTCATTCCAAGTATTTATGTTCAAACAAGGTGCAGTGTAGAATGCAGTGCATGCCATATCCATTTTCCCACATCTAGAGAACATACTGATTGCTGAATTTATGATGCTGACTTCATCAAATAGTCCAAAATGCAGGGAAGCACAATAGAACTGAAGCCCAAGACCAAGATTATGTAAGTACCCACATTTTCTAAGCAATCCAGAAAAAGTGACATTATTTGGTTTGCCACCTAGTATCATTAGATTATGATATAATGTAACAAGGTCTCTTGCATTTCCATTCTGAGAAAAGCCTGAAAATGCAGTATTCCACGAGATGATGTCTTTGTCCTGAATCCGACTGAAAACCCTCAAAGCAGAGTCCTTGTCACCACTTTTGAAATACACATCCACAAGAGCATTCATTACTGAAGTAATACACTCCACCTTACTTTGAATAATAAATCCATGAATTTGTTTTACGCATTGCAAAGCTCCCATGGTTGAACATCCCTTGAGAGCACTTATAAAGGTATATTTGTCCATTTTCACACCTACATATGGCATCAATGTCAACAATTGCAAGGCTTTAAAGTCACATTTACATTTGATATATCCTCCAATCATGGCATTCCAACAACCAGCGTCTAGGTCTTTCATGATATCAAAAACCAACTCAGCAGATTCAATATCTCTCAACTCAACATACATGTTAAGAATTGATGTACTTACAAATGGGTTCTGATCCAACCCAATTTTTAAAGCAGAACAGTGAACGGCTATAACAAGCATGCGCACTCCCAGAGTAGCACATGCCTTCATCACACTGCCAAGAGCAAACTCGTTTGGCCTCAGCCCAGCTCGTAACATTTCCACAAATATGTTTAAACCAAATTCAAAATCACTATTTTGAATTGCACCTGAAATCACTATAGTCCATGACACTAGATTCTTTTTAGCCATCTCCTCAAACACCTTACAGCCATATGACAAAACTCCAACTTTGAAATACGTCTTAATCAAATTATTCTGTGAGAAAATGTCATTAGAAAATCCCAACTTGATGACATGAGAATGGATTTGGTCACCGAGAGACAATGATTTCAAATCTGCAGAAAGCGAAAGTGCAGTTGCAATGGCAATTTGGTCTCTTTTCTCTAGGAGATCAGAGAATGGCAAGTAGGATTTGCCCATGTGAATTTGGAATCCTTTTAAGAATGGGTTCAGTTCGGAAGGTCCATAAGCAAGGGAAAACAAACATCTTGGCTTTGCAGTAACAAGAGCATGTCCTATCCTTCCCATTAATTTCAACGCAAAGCTCTGTCCAATCATGCAGACAACTTTTGTAGCATCTAGGAAAATGGTGCCAAATTATTTCTGTTAAAAACCATATCGTGTGTAACGTCACTCGCAATGTAAATCTCATCTTCAATCAGCTATTAAAGTAACAATCAAGCAAAATGATAACATATAACAAAACCACCTTCCATACTGAACTTTGGATCCTACTGTGTGCTATTGTTAAGAAACATAGTACTTGAATCCTCTAAAAGAATCTAACCCAACTTATGTCTAAAACGTTTAAAGCTAATTCCAACAAGAGAAGAAGTCAAAATTTGACAAACAATGACACCACTTTGAGCACAAGACTCAACCTGGTGCAAACATGGACAGCTAATGATGTGATGTATGAACATATAGAAATATGAAGCCATACATTATTCAAAGGAAGAATTTTGAAATTGAGTAAATGCACAATTTAGTCTACTAAAATATAACTCCTATCATTTGATTCGTTGGATTTATTATTCTACACAAGTTAATCCTCAAAGTTTGTAACTCTGCGTATGCACCAACTTGTCAATTGTCCAGAGATGCGTTAACATTAAATTGTATAAGACAATAAATCTAAGAACAAAATTTAATAAGGTATGTGTTTTCAGGGACCTATTTACTCTATGTATTTTCAACAGGTCAAAGGCAAGCACCAAAGACCAAAATTGTTACGTATCTCAAATTATAAGATTTTAATGGAGAAGGAGGGGGGGGGGGGATAAATGAGTTTTTTTTTTTTTGGGGGGGGTGTTGGTTGCATTTGCACTCTCTATCTGGAGACACCTTGGACTTTGATCAATCCAGTCCAAGCCAGGTGGGACCAAAAAAGTAGAAGGATCTTCCAATGAGTATTTAATGCAGTGGCACCTAGGGCTCAAACTGAAGACCTCTAGTTAAGATAAGACACACAGCTGAGAGGGGAGAGATTTTACCTTATTTGGTTCATGAGGAGAGAGGGGAAAAAATAATAATACTCGGACAAAATGCCCTTATCCCTTTATCCTGTTTTTCCTCTTCAATGTGAATTAAATAAAAACTTACATACAACTTGAAGATAAGTTTATGCCAATGCATAATCAATTCATTATATCTCAAATTAAAGATGTAAAGATGGCAGGGCCATGGCTCATGGGTACATTGCTATATAATGACAACTGCCTATGCATCACTTGTTATAGGGACAATTTCTTTCCCCGATATCTATGTCGCCTTTTCAAAAGAGTGAGAGGGACACAATGATATTTAAGTGTTCAAGCTCTCAAGCAGAGAGCATACAACAAAATATCAGCAAAAAGCTATGTCCTCAAAATATCAACAAAAGAGTGAGGAGGACACCACGCTAACCATGCAGCCGCATACTAATATTAACTTTTACCTCCAGGACCCAGGTGTGAAATCACAGAAAATGACCCCAAAAAAAATCAGAGGTAAAAGTGGGCATCATGCATTGTCATTATATAAGAGCAAGTTATGATCCATTGAATCATAGACTCCTTGTGAGATTCTTCTAATTTTTATCAAAATAATCCCAAACACATCACATGGGACTTGGAACTTGGACTTAGAAAGAAGAACCGTAAACCAAATTGCCATAATGAACAGGGCTACATAACGATAATTTTTTTCAAGTAATATCAAATGATCTGCAATAAGATATACACAAATCAGATTCATAGCTTTTCCGCGACTGATATTTATTTTGCCTCCATGAAATTTGGAAAAATAAGCAGGGGCGGACAGAACTAGAAATTTATAATATTTATGCTATGGATTAGACTTTAAAGAATCAATGTGGATCAAACTTAAGATAAAAGCTGAATAAACATATGAACTGGACGAAAAGAAAAAAAAAACATATGAACTTAAATAATTCAACACATTTCATCAGAAAATCAAATTCCCTCCTTATCTAGATTACCCAGTCGAACACCAAGTAAAAACAGAAAAGAAGAAAGGGAAAAAAAAAAAAATCTTCGAGCCTAAAACAAGTGCTCAGCAGCACTACCGTGATTCCACCATAACCAGAGAAACCGCATAGTGAACAACGAAAATGCAAGAATAAGCGCAGAAACAGTGAAGGGGAAAAAATAGAACAGAGGGGGACGACGACGAAACCTGAAGGAAGACGGCGACGGCAAGCTCTTCTCGGCGATGAACAACGGAACTATGATTCTATCTATAAAGGCTGGAACAAGCTTTCAGAGGTTCCCTCGAAGCCAAGAGGTAGTGGAGAGAGAATTATGCTTTAAATTCAGAAATGGAGAAAATATCTTGAAAATGAGTGAGGCGTTAGAGTCCTTCTTGCGCTTCGCGAGTTGGCGCTCTGGTTCAGAACGAAAGCAGATGGCGTTGCGTTTGAAGAAGAAAGGATAAATAATAACTGTATTTTTATTTTTTTTATTATACAAAACAACTATTTTTTTTATAGTTTTTAATTAAATAATTTTAATACTGAAAAATGATTATCCTTTAGTTCGATTATTATTTATATTGTTTAATTAAAATAATAGATAATAAATGTTTATTGTTTTGAAGTAACACTGCTCCTGTAATTAACTAGATAAGTGGGCATGTTTAGATTATAGTTTAAACAAAAATCATGTCTTCATTTAAAATTAGCTAAATATATACAAAATTGAAAAAAAAGCCTTTAAATTTAATCTCTAATAGTTTTATACTTTACCTTTATTTAATATATTCACTTTCTAACAAAATAACAGTAAAATAATATATTATGTTAAAAGATTTAATGATAAATAGTAAATAATCTTTTAACAATCTATGGTCACATATCCTGGAGTAACTTTTGGTGCAATTTTGTCAAGTGTTTTTAGTAATGAGCCCTATAAATTTAGGATATTAAGTGTTATCAAGATAATTTTTTAATGTGTTAAATACACAGAAAATTATTTAAAATATTAGGTATTAAAGAAAAAGTACTTCAAGATATTAAATGCATCAAATATTTGTTTAGTAAACTGAGTAATAACAGAGAACTATTTCAGAATTGGAGCTGCCATTAACCAAAAACCCCTGCTTGACATGTTTTAAATCTGAGGTTTTATTATCTTGTTCCTTGTGAATAATCTATAAACAAAATTTAAGAGCTGCACAAAAAAATTTTTTTGCCAAATATATTGTTGAGAGTTGGGACTTCTTGTTGTCCAAGAGGATAAGACATAAACAGAATGGTAGCTCTCATAATTTGTTCATTATTGTCAAGAACTGCTGCTTGACCAGCAACTTTATTCAATTATAATAAAAACATAAAAATTGTACAACCTTGAATTCAATAAACAAAAATGTAAAATTAATTAATGTAGATTTCACTTTCATCAGCAATGTACCAAATAAAACAATGAACTGTTTCTCTTCATTTCTTACCTATCAGGCAGTCATTTTTGTAAACTCTGGTCAGAATAACAAAATCTAGTCCACATATTCAACATTTTTTTTCCCCACAAAATCTTGAAGGCTTAATCAACTAGAGCCAATCTGCAACAAGAGCCACTACATCTAGAAGTCAGTGTCTTGATTCATTCAGACAACTTCAGAAGTTCAAATCATCAAAAGAAGATGGAGAAAAGGAGCTTAATGCTGCGCTGGTATTCACTGTTCACCAGCCATTGTCTTGGTAATATCATAATCATTTGAAAACATGATACTATCTCCGGTCCTTAATATAAAAGTTCATTTGACTTTTATTTTGGTTTTAAATATAAGACCCTAATACACTTGTCTCTCATATTTATTCTTTTTTTTCCCTAAGATAGTTCTTGTAATAATAGTAGTTGTAACTAATACACTTGATTAGCAAGAATATTTAGAAAATTTAGAGAAGACAACACATATTTAGTACAAGTAACTAATTTACTAGTTTTCTTAATTTACTTAAATTAGTTAACTAATTCTTATATTAAAAACAGGAGGTAGCATTATCAAACAGTTAGGGAAAGACAAGCCAAAAATTGTATCACTAATCAAAAGATGTCTGTGTGAAGATGCTATAGATACCAGGATCGGTAATGCTAAGGCAACAAACCAGTAAATATTTGCCGCATGCTGTGCCCAAACCAACGTTGTCTAGTAAACAAGAAACCCTTTGTTAAAGTTTACTACAGGAGAAATACTCAAGAATCACAAAAGATCATCCTGTACATGACCAACTGACATCCTATCTGATATTGCGCATTTGATATAACAAAAAAATTGCAAGAGTTGCTCATGCATTCAAAAACGAAAAAAGACACAGGACATGCTCCTAATATTCTATCAGTACCCTGTTTTTCTGGGGTCTATCACTCCCAGGTCCCCGTAAGTATCGCACCACTAAATGGCCAATTGATTAATACTAGAAAACAGACAGATAGAATAATAATTTGGGATAATTAATTTGGCAATCCTTAAAGTTTCTAAAGATTTTGAATTAGATCCCTGTAGTTATATTTCTTTTTATCAAAACCTTATATTTCGTTTCGTTAAAGCTTCAAGTCCTTCTGTTAATTAACCTCCCGAAAACCATTACTTATGATGATAGAGATTCAGGTGGCATTGAAGCGGCTCCATAGATATCAAATATTAATGCTTGCGTTATCTCTCCCCCACTAAAAAGCTCATGGCTCTCTCTCTCTCTCTTTGTGGAAACCGATTCAGGAGCAGAAAGGCTTCTTCTTCAACTGGTGAGGTTAACAATATCTTAATCTTGAAAGCTGTTTTTAACTAGGAAGACGACATAAGCACCTATATAATTAAATATGTGTATAACCAAAGAATGTATATAACCCAAGAGAAGAACCTTAAGCAAAGTTCTCTACATCAGACCCCTTGACATACTCATTTAATGACCTTGTATCTTTTTTGAACAAGAAGATCGATAAAATTGTTGAAAGAGTCTATATTCTAGAGAAGAAACTCTTGAAGCAAATTCAAGGTAATGATTGTTGAGTGCTAATTTCTTTCTAAAAATTTGTTCAAGTGAAATATTTTCTATCGGGAAAAAATAGCCTTATATCAGTAGTTTGAGATGTGTTGGTTGGATTGTTTCGACAATTAGATTATTGGTGCTGGGCATCGAACTTTGTAATTTAATTTGTCAGTATGTGCTTATTTTGAAAGTGGCAACTTATTTCTTATTTCACAGATTCCACATGTCCCACCAATGTGGCAAGTCTTCAGCAATATCACCGTCGGAATACACACAACATAGAAGCAAGGCACTAATGCTAATGGAGGAGTAGAACCAGTTGAAGGAAGAGTCCTCCTTCTTCTTAGCGGGCAGAGACGAATTGGTTCGAAAGATGAGAGACGAATGCAAGCATTGATATTTGTAGAATTGCTTCAATGCCATGTCACTCTCTTTCATCATCATTAACGGTGTTTGAAGGATTAATTAACAGAAGAACTTGTAGCTCTAACAGAATGAAATATAAGAATTCAATAAAAAGAAATAAAATTGGAGGGACCCAATTCAAATTCTTATAAAGCTTTAAGGACTGCCAAATTAGTTATCCCTAATAATTTTATGGATAGAACTTAGGTGCAGGTTCTTAGATATTTGCTATCAGGGTCTTCGATAGAATACTGACATGCAGAGTAGAGGCCTTTCCTCTCATCAAGAGAAGACAATATCAAAAATAAAGAGCAAATATCTAATGGACAAAATTTAGGTCCATTTCTTCACATCTATTAGATCCAATTCTCCAATCAAATCTCAGCACATGGATTTTTTTTCTTTTTAAAATAATAATAGAAACTCCAAGGATAAAAACTCAAAATTCAGTTAGACCATCATCGGTAATAAAAATCACATTTAGGAAAGATTCGATTGGAGAATTGGATATAATGGGTTTAAGCAAATGGACCTAAGTTTTGTCAACAACGAAACATTTCCACACTATCAGACACCGTTGACACATTTACAGATATGACACAAAAGCTCTTTGATGAAGAACTCACTTCCATTGTAGTGATGCACACCCACTTTGGCAAGCATTGCCTCTGATTTCCTTAAAGGTGGGCAATTGTTGGCAATTATAATTAGCTTCCCTGAAAAGAAGAGAAGAAAATTTATCGAATCTCTAATTTCTAGTTCTACACCATTAGCAAATTCCATATTAACATATACAAGCTTTACCTACTACAATCTTATTTAAATTATCTTCTCAAAACTTTCCAAGAAATTGATTCTATTCAAATGCACCAAAAAAAAAAAGTCTTCTATAGAACTCTAAAAATCAGTGACATCAGAATTTTTTAAAAAAAGTAAAACAGATTTTTATTCATCAGAAGAACTATATGAGGTTATGTGAGTTACCTATCAACCTTTCATCATCCACCACTTCCTTACAACAAGGTAGGGATGATTCAAAAGCACAAAAATCATAAGTAATTTCATGAGTAAACCCAAGTAAAGAATTAGCATAATGGTTGGCTTCTATATAGACAAAATTCACAGACAACTGCTAATTCCTAGCTAGTACGGACTGAGCAGCAACAACAGAAATTTGACTAGTGCAACATGCAATTCCCGTTAACCTGTTTGAGCAAATTTAAGATCTCCAAATCCCTCCCAAAAGACAGTACTTTGATTTATATACAGAACAATATTTAAAAAACCCAATGCCACCTATTTCCTAATCACGACTAATTTGACTAACGAAACATGCAATTCCCTTTAATCTGTTTAAGCAAATTTAAGATGTCCAAATCCCTCTCAAAAGACAGCACTCTAGCTTACATACAGAGTAACATTCAAAAAATCCAATGCTACATATTTCCAAATTACAACTAATAATAATCAAGATACTTCTCCACCAAACCCATGATTTTAAAGCAGCTAATGAAGTGAAAGAAAAGGGAGTCAGCGATAAAACCAGTAGTCAGCGATGGAACCAAGGCACTGTAATAAAACAATACCTTTCGAGTTTAAGGGAATTCAGAACCATTTTGAACCAGTAGTCAGCTATGGAACCAATTACATGCCCGCCATACATGAATTAATGAATCTTCATTTCAGGTCGATCCATACCACAATGAGGGAATTTGTTTTCCTTTTTACGTATGTTCATAGTCTATATTAAACTACAATTCTTTACAGCAGGATGGTTCCGAAAGTTGATTGAAACTTTTCACGTGTCAGGGAAAAATAACTTAATCGCAATAACATCTTTTTCAGAATTACTTGATGATACCAATCAATAAGCAGTTTTTATCTCATTTAATGAATCGTTCTTACCAAAAACACATTAAGCTATTGGAAAGGAAAGCAAGAGTAACAATGCACAAAATTAAATCACAAAACATCGGGTTTAAGCCACAGGCCCACATGGCATATCAGTACCATGCTAGCTGAGAACTTGTGCTACAAAAGTGATTGCCAGAGGCCAGAGCTATGACATATTCCCCCAGTCACTATGGCCATTTAAAGCTAAAATAAAGCATAGAGATGGAACACCAGCACATGAAAGATTTCACTGCTACTGTGAGGCCGAGGTTGATGTTCCGGCTTCTACAGGTGCAGAACCACCAGTAGGCCCTGATCCTGTTGGAGCTGACCCTGAGGGAGCAGACGAACCCAGCTGCATGGATTGCTGATATGGCTGGTTTACTGCCGGTGGCTGAGATGTAGCCATCCCAGGGTTGTATGGTGGTGGGTACTGTTGATAAGCAGGTACAGGTGGCATATAACCGTATGGAGGAGGGGGGTAATACTGATGATGGTGATATTGCCCAGGTGGTGGAGGCATCATTGGATGGGCATAATGCTGCATTTGCTGCTTCTCCAAATTGAGTTTGTTGTTCTCTCCGGTCCCAGTAGCCCCACCAGGAGGACCACCATCTTGAGACGGAATAACAGCACCCATTCTCTGAGGATCCATTGATGGATAGTAGCTTCTATCTTGCTGAGAAGGAGGTGGAATGTTATAGTAATGCACTCCCTGGGTTTGATCCTGGCTCTGCTGCTGTGATATGACGGCTCGAGGCAACAACCCACTATGAGCCACAGATGCCTGCTGCCTTGCTTGATCAGAACTTTCGGAGTCAGCTTTTGCTGTCTGAGGTCTGCCCCACATCAGCTTCAACCTTAGGCCCTTGATAACTAGCTTGTTGGAGAGCTCTTCTGCTGCTTTTTCTGCACCCTCTCTGGTTGTGTAGGTTACAAATGCACAAGCCCGTTGGAGCACCATCTTGACGGATTCTATTTCACCATGGGCATAAAAGTGATCACGAAGATCCTGCTCACTGACCCTAGCATCAAGCCCACCAACATAAAGAGTTCTAATGGTCTCATCCTCTGGAGGCTCCAAAGAGGTCATCTCTCCTGCCTTGCCAAGTAACTTTAATGCCACAGGATCGTTCACCCTACAAGATTAAAATACACAACAAACAGAATTTCCCATGAGAGAAAAAAACACAATAAAAAATTTCAAGTAACAAATGATGTCAAAGTTGACGTGACAAAAATATTCAGTTAAAAGAAAATTAACAGAAAATTAGAAAACAAAAGGAAAGTAATGTGAGATCAAGGCTGTACCCAGTATCCAAAAAGAAATACAAAATATAAGAAATTATCCATGCATCAAGTTAATCTGATTTATTGATTGTCACTCTTACTGCAGACAGAATGTACGAGCTAAGAACCATGCAACAAGCCAAATTTAAGTGAATCATATCCAGCAAGTAGTCTAGATTAAATAAAGAACATGAACCCTAGCCGGATACTATAGAAAACAAAAAATTAACCAGCTTGGAAATATAGATGGTTATATTCCAGTAATGAAAATATTTCCCCCAACTAGGATCCTAAAATGCTAATCTATGTATAAAATATATAATATAATTTTATAGGAAACTACACTATATACGCATTACGGATAGTGAGGCCCACCTCAAGCTCCAAACAAGCGCACAGTCTAGTTCCCACTAATGTTAAAATGAAAAAAAGAAGCCAATGCAGAAAAGCCCTAATGATATGCGGCTCTTAGAAGCATAACTATATCAAGACACGGCAAGAAAAACAAACAGCAAACTTGTCATCATGGTTCCACAGCAGGTATCTCACAGAATGACAATGGATCAGCTAACACGATTGTCTAAGACACAGCAATGACCACTTTCTCACAGAGTCCCATGCGCAGAAAGCTAGAGTTATAAAAACGATTATGGAGAGAATGGGAGCAGAACTAGGGGGGAGAGAGCAGTCAGATATAAAAATATACAACCAAAGTAGGAAGTCACTTGCAACTACACATACCCATAATAACGATCTTTGATATTTTGTTGTGACAACTCCCCAGTTACTGGCATCTCATGCCTATAAGGGCATTCAGCTCCTCTGGTACACTCGCCCCTTATGTAGAAACTGCAAATATGAGCCCGGTTTCTTTTGTAATATGGTGTTGTCCTTTGAAGCTTCAAAATAGTATCATTTGGGCGTACTTTCCCATATGAGGATTCATAATCCAAGCCAGCTCGAGTCTAAACCACAATTCATTTGTTAGTCATAACTGATTTGATGGTTGAGAAATTCTTGAAGGAATAAAAGGAATAAGATCCAATCCAACAGTCCAACTTATATAAATTCAGGTGAAACTCAGAAATATTGAGAAAGGAAAGCAGCAATGAATATATAAATCCAACGGAGTTTAATTCTTCAGATTAAACTAATAAAAATGACTAAAATTTGATGAGACATTATTATGACAGAAACAACAATCATTGTATTGACATATAATCATAGGTCACACTAGGCTTTTGGAACTGTAGCTGGAATACAGCCACATAAACACAACTTCTAAGTAGACACATGGATAAATTAAATCATCAAACTTCCAGATGTAAGACAGGGTTGATCCACAAATATATTAGCTATGACTTTTGATAGTTTGCTGTAAACTCCAACGGGGAATTCATTAGTTATTTGCAGCAGGGTAACTAAAGTTAACTCAAATCACTGTAAATAGTACAAGGATAGAATAATCCTGTAAGAACTTTTCCTAGTAAATCAAACTGTATTAATCCTATATAAGGCTCCTACATAGAAAAAGCAGCGCACCTCAATTTTTTAAAAAATATGAACATGAATCATATATGGAAGATAGCTTTCTCCGTTGGATTCTATAGTTACCTATCTGTTGCATTTTAGGTAACATCCTACAACAATGCCTGGCTTTATTAATCCACTTCTGTCCTCCCCATGCAGCACTTCCTAATAACTCATCCACATGATTTATAGACCACAAATAAGTTAAGATATCTACTTGGCCGCTTCCTTTTCTTTATACTTATAAGCAGATGACATAATTAACTAAGCTACACAATGCTGCAAATTTATAAATGTTCATGACTAGCATGCATTGACTTTACTAAAGATGGTCTATCACTGCAATAAATTGTATAAAATGAGACAACTCAAATAAAAGTGATTCAAGCAATGAAAAGCGAAAATAGTCCATGAGTGAGACTTGTCAAAAAAGTAGAAGTAGAAACCGATCATAAGTCAAGCTATCTGCGCATTGCAAAGGCTTTATTTTAAACCCTCATAGCCCCCAAAAAAAAAAAAAGGAAGAAGAAGATATTCTATACAAAATGAAACTCTAAAATGAAAATAGGATGAAACAATTTCTATCTTGTAGAACACCAGTGTAACATTCTTTTAAGTTATGGGCAAGTATCATCAACCATACGATATGGTAGTAAAATAATCATACCTTGCGATCGTGCTCTTCAGCAAAATACTCCCGATTAACATCACTCTTGGGAATAGCATCATGGGAACTAATACTGAGAGCAGTATCTCGGACTTGCACTGGCAACCCATACTCAAGATCCAGAAGGCAGACTTGACAAACGTTTTTCAATTTACTACATGTTTGGCAGATTTCAGTTTTCTTATATCTTGCATCTCGACCAGGTCTCCATCTAAAAACAGTAAATGGCCGTGTACAAATTTTACACTCCTTATCATAGTCAGCTCTCGTCTGCATCCATGTATACCCATAAAAAGAGCAATTAAATAAGTTAGCTAAACAAATTTAACTTCCTGTGAGAAACATGCTAAAGTCTGAAAATGATTATTACGAACCCTCTTGACAGCTTATAATGCAACTGAAATAAAGAATTTAAGGGTAGCCTACAAGTTCATGACTCTGCAAAGGGCAAGCTTGTTTTTCACGAACAAAACTGGATTCAAACACCCTTTACAAATTATAGGTACTGGAATATTTATTCTTCAGTTAGTAGTATTTGGTAATATAGTTAGGCCTCCAATTAAGCACGGTAAGTGCCAGATAACCCAATATGAATGTGTTACTCCTTTAACCTTAATTTATGAGGGAAAAACCCCCAAAACTGTGGGGACTACGAGAGCTTCTTCTAAACTAGAGACTAGCACCCACTCACCAGTCTACAATGTCATAAACCTGAGTTATAAATTCTTCTGGAGAACCATATTCCAAAAGCTAACTTATCACGTAGGAAAGCCCAATACTTCTATAAGCCCCTCATTATAAAATCCCATGAACATCCTAAATTTTTATTTTTCGGGATATGAAAGCGCTCGACAGAATCAGAAAGAACTTTTAGCATCGTCTATACGCATTAAAAGGGGTTAAACCGAAGAGGGACGGAGAAAAATACATACCATACGAACATATGGGTTGTCACCGAGGCATGATTCGCAGATAATAGGAAAGTCAGATCGTTCCCACCCATCTGCTTCATGATCCCTCAGCAACCTATGCGCCATGCTAAAATCTGAACTTGGTTGAAAGATCCCTAATTCTTTAGGTTCTTTACCTACTTTGCTTCGACGAGCCCTCGGCAAAACTCAGACGCTGAGAGAGTGGCTTCGGCCCCAGGAACAGCAATTATTATCGTCTCGAAGTCCTTTTGCTATCCAAGGAGGGCGGAAGAGGACCGGACTCAGCCTTTTTCCTTTACCTCTTTCCTCCACTGCCCGTCCGCTGCCTAAGACGACGTCGTGTGCGGTGCAATACCAGGCCAAATGAGTGAATGATTGGATGGGAGAGGAGGCGCTGAGTCGGAACTTAGAAGAATGCTAGTTATTATTCTAATAATTAATTAGTATCCTCCTCATATGCATTTTATAAAGTGAGGATGAAAAAAAGTTGGAATTTTGTAAATATTAAATAAGAAATATTAACAAAAATTTATTATCATTTACAAATTCAAACTTATCAATACCAAATAAAATTGTGTTATTAAATCTGGTCTGAGATTAGTAATTTCAAGCTCTTTTTTCTGTCATTATCCCTTTTATAAAACCACAAAAAATTTGTCTTTTATTAAAAAAATAAAATCACATAAAATAACAAATGCACTCTGCAATATTTTTTCCCATAACACTCAGTATTTTAAAGTAATTATCTGTACATTTAATACCTTAAAATATTTTTTCAGTGACAATATGTATCCTAAAATATATTTTTATGGCATCAGGAACTCTAAAATATATTTCTAAAAGCACCTAGTATCCTGGGTTTAATGTTCTTATTGCTACCAAGAAAATAATCTTTCAAAAGTCCTAATAATAACCTAAACGTAATGACAAGTTGGAGTGAGAATGATAATCTTTGAGACTTATTTTGTAATTTTTTTTTTTGGAACATCATTGTAATTCTTCCTTATATGATTATAGAAGGAATGATGACAAAATAATATATATATATAGAGAGAGAGAGAAGAAAGAGGGTTTTTCTTCTGTCCAAAAAAAAAGAAAGAGAGTTGAGAGAGCAGAAAACTAAGAAAGGTGATGGAGGAAAGATTGAAGATCTGAAATTGAGAATTCGATGAGCAATATATAACACGAAGAAACAGACTATCAACAAAAGCAAGTTCTAAGATTTTTCTTTTAAAAAATCAGCACAGCATTAGCCAATCAGAAAAAAGTTCTATCCAAACTGTTTTTTTCATTTTACATATATAATATAAAGATATATTTTATTGTGAGAAATCGGAGTATGGTGGAATTCTTGATCTCTGCTTTATTAATGAATAAAAGATACTTCCCCTTTCCTCTATTATGTACTGCTTCTAAATAATTCATATATATATATATATATATATATATCAATAAAATAGTTAAAAAGTATTAAATATATTCTAAAATTCAAGTGATTTAAATATCATAAACTTCAAGATTATTAATTTTTTCTTTTTCTCACTACCTTTGTTAAATATTTAAATATGGGCATATTTAAAAAAAATATATTTAATATTTATTTAAACTATTAAAATGTCTTGTCAAAAAATAATTTTTTTATTCATACAAATATTATGAAATTTTCAAATCATTTTTAATTATAGTAAAATATTTCATATGTTAAAAATATGTTATTTTCTAATTTATAAAATAACTTTTTAATTTAGTAATAAATTTATATTTATGTAATAATTGGAAATACAACTACACTGTTCAAATCAAAGAGAACCAAGGGGCCTTTTCTTTCTTTTCTTTTTTTCCCCGGAAGTTCTCTATCCATTGCAATCACACCCAATGAAAATATAAGGACAAGACTTATAATAAGAATCAAAATTTCCGATTGAAAAATCAAAATTGCGACAAAATATGCATCCATCAAATATATATCACTGCAGAAATCTTTTCTTGAAAGTGAACTTTCTACAAATATATCAGTTGCAGATCATCCATGAAAAATAAGGTCTAATTTATGAATACGTGAGAGTGGTTAATAATATTGGGGTGTCTTGTGTGTGTATATATGTCGATCGTAGTCATCATGGTACTCGCTTCTTGAGTCTTACTGGAATCGAAAGCTAATGAAAGGTAAAAACACACCTAAATGCCAAAGGGTTTATCCTTGGCATTTACTATGTCACTGAACATGGTCATGTTCTGAATCAGTTTCTTGCGATGTTCGGAGAGACCCGACAACTGAGAATCAATTTCTCCAAGTTTTACCTCCATGGCTTGAATTTTCGCTTTTGCTGCTGAGATATCAGACATGTCAACCCCAAAAACTTTGGCACGAACTGATTCAACCCAGTCTTTGTCGAACCCAAGAACAATTGCTTCACTTAAGTTAGCCTCCAAGGTTGATTTTTCTGATGTGGAAATGGTACAAGGAGTCTTGGTGGCAAGCATGACAAGAATATCAACCAGCACGCGGTAGGACAAAGCTATTATGCGATGGGTTCGATGTTCGCGAGGCAGCAATAGTTGGGGATAACGCTCTAGTGCTTCAGCAAGTAAAGCCGTTTCTCCTTGTTTCAGGTCCACAAGTTTGAAAATTTCACAAATTCCCAGTTTAGGAGACGAAGTGCTGGCATAAGCAATTTGTGATTCTGTCACAGGTGAACAAGTTAGCAGATGGATTAAAGACCAAAAAAAAAAAAGGTACTGTAACGATCATGTAAAGAAAGACACTTGCGATGATGGAGAGAAGGAATGGCCTGGTGAATGATTGCTTCCTCTTGAACATTTGAGTGATCTCCTGCTTCTTTAACAGTCTGCATCGAATGAAATTAAAAGGGGGGAAAAAACATGTAGTTGTATTTAATTGGTTCTCTTTTAAAATGAGTAGTTGCTTATGACTGTACTGTTAGAGATAGCTTAAGACACATACTAGAGCTCTAATGAATGGAGTTGCCATTTGTGATGTGTCTGTAGCAGTAGCTTTTTCATCAATTCCTTTTTCTTTTTCCTTAGCACTCTAACAGACATCAAGATAACATGCGAGCATCTAAACTAACTCGTGCAGAATAAGGGGAAAAAATCATTCAGAGTACTTCGATTTCCATTATTAGAAAACGGTAACAAACTTACTAGTGCAGAATGTTTTCCAGAGAGGTCATCAATTGGTCCTGTAGACTGCTTCCCTGAATCTGAATTAGTTGATCCAACTGCTGCCACGACATCATCTTCTACATAATTCTTTTCAAGACCTCGTTCTGTTGTATCTTTGATACTCTGAGTAATCTAAAAGTAAGAAGAAATAAGTTGCAGTTGCATATGTCCTATAGGTGCTAGAGTACTACCCTTAGGTTTTGCTAAGTTGTGAGAGACACTTTGTATCTTGTAGTTCTATTTTTCAGTGTTCAAGAATCAAGAATCCAAAAGTTTGTTGTTTAGTCATTAGATGTTGATTAATTGTTAAAAAGAAATGCAAGTTGGTCTTAACTTTTATAACTTTTTGCACTTCAAAAAGTTCTTGATCAACACACTTAAAATCATTTTATATTGATAATAAATAGAGATTGGAAATGTCAATCAGATTGCCTCTAAATTTGTCAGCATTGAAGCCATTGATAGCTGCGAAGCATGTTTTTTAACAGCTTCTTTCTCTCTTTTTTTGAATCTCTGAATAACATCACAAGATAAGATTTCCCATAATTATAACTAGGGAAAAGTAAAAGGAAAACAATGCATCTAGCAACTTCATAATTCACATGGTATCTTATATAATAGTAAGGATAATGCATTTTTTCTGGTAGTTATAATGCATTTACTTGTGCAGAAATGGGTGATACTCTAGTTTGCTTCCTTGAATCTGAATCAGTTGATTGAACTATTATTGGAACTTCCTCTGCCGCATCATCCTCTTGAGAGCCTTGCTCATGTGTTTCTTCTGTGCTGGCAACCTACAAAACACAAAGGAATTTCTCTTTTCAATTGTGCTCCTCCATAAATGAAAGCATGCTATGCATTTGAAATGAACTTGGTAAACTTACCAATTTAGATGGACCAAATTGCAAGTGTCTGACTTGTGAAACAACTGAGGAAATAACACCCTGCAAAAGTACCAGAAGATATGTAAGTATCATGTTGTTTAATTATAATCCTTAGATCCTTTAATATTTTGTGAAGATTCAACTATACAATAATCATCCTATCTGCTAACTCCTCCTGGCGTTTCATGCTTATTTCACTTCTTGATTGTGATGGCTTCAAATCCTAAATCAAGCAATGAATAAGGAAAAAGGCACATGTTTAAGCCATTAATTTAGAATGCATTCCTAATTCTTTATTTCAAAAATGTCATAAAACACTAATCAATAACCAATGGGAACTCTTTTTGGTGAGGAATGATTAATGCTTCTGATGAGTTTCTTGGTGCTAAATCAGCTACCATAGTTGCTGCCACTACATCCTCTGAGTTGGGACCACCTTCAACTCTTTCTTTTGATATGATATCAATACTCTGAATACCACAAAATAGAAATAAGTATCAAATATTGTAATGATCGAACTTTGAAAGAACTTAGTCCTCTATGTTATAACCTACATTATCATCAAATGGTACATTGGTTTTCTGAGAAGCTTTAGTGGCTTTTGTTTCTGCAAGATCCTCTTGTTGGAGCTGCATAGTCGATTCACCTGTTTTGTGTTCATCCTCCAACTCCTAGTTAAAATATTAAATAATTAGAAGAGAACTATTTTGACACATTTCTATTCCTATCATGTTGAAATCACCTAAATAATCTATATATTGATATAACCGCTGGCATTAGGAAGACTTATGAGAGAAGGATGAGAAAATCAAGGGGAGAAGTTAAATCCACTGGTCAGAACGATTGTACCAGAACTCCAGGAAATGAGGAACAACTCTGATTGGCAGCTTACCTCTAGCCGTATGGGTCCTTGACCTTGTAGGGTGGGTAGGACTACTTTTGTGGGGGAGCCTATATTACTTTGTGAGGGGACGGACAGAGGAGAGGGTTTTTGGAGAGGAAAAACAGTATTGTGGGAGAGCCCCGGCCTCTCGAACGCCGTGGAAGTTGTTGAGTATAAGCTTCATTATTTTGTAACTGTGTAATCCTCCGCTGTGACGTGCTGTTGTGATCTATTTTGATTGTTAGAGGGAAATAGGGCTTTGAGCTAGAATCAGGGAAGCTCGTTGTATCTTGATTCAGTGTTGGAGCATTAATATCAAAGCCTCAGGATTTCCTTCATTAATTGCTGATCTGTTTCTTTACTGTTATTTTGCTGTCCGTTTATTTAAGCATTAAAGCAGGTCACAACATATATAAACTTACATGTAAAGATGTCCCTCTCAGTTGTGATTTTGTTGCTAAAGTTCCTGATGCTTTTTTCTCTAAAGCTAGAGTAGGGTCTTTAACTTGAATTTCAAGTAATGTTTCCTCTGTGATCTACAACAGAAAAAAAAGATATCCTTAGATTAGTTTTTCTTTTATATATATATATATATATATATATATATATATGTGCATGTAAGTCTGATCTTTCAACTCAACAACATATAATAGATATTTATGATTTTTGTTTTCAGATCCTCAATAATTAACTTTATATTTTTATATTTCAGATATTGCTTCCTGTTAATTAAAACTCCTGTTCTTTTTTCTACTAAGCTCAATATACATATGATTTCCAAGCTATAAGTTTCCAATTAATATGTACTACTAAAATCACTGTTCTTTTTTCCCCCCTCGATCCACAAGAATCCATGTTCTTGTCAATAATATATAATAGAGTTCGGTTATGTGGTTTTTGCTCTAGGTCTCCACATATCACTACCCTGAAGTTGGACGTGTTCCAACATCCTTTTTCTCTGTTTCTGAGCTTTGAGTAAATATCAAAGGACAAATTTTGTTCAAGAAATTAGATAAAAACCAGTATCATAGATGACAGAAATTATATAAACAAATTTGAAAACAGTAGCAAACAAATACAAATTTCTTTCATTGATATCACACATAGGAGGGAGCCTCTTTCATTACTATTATTTGTTATCATTTGTTTGGGAATTATATAAGCTAACATAAACTAAGTTTACTATCATTTCTTTCAAATTTTGTTCCACAAAATTAGATAAAAATGTTGCCACTGATAATATTCACAAAAGAATTGATCTTAACGCAAATGACAACTTCTTTTAAGTTAATGTACCCTCTAGTCCTATTTATAAGCTTCAAATTTGAGAGGTGGTATAGTCTATTTTTGTAAGCTTTGATTTGGGTTTGTCTAAACATTTAATGTTTTTTTTTTTTTTAGCGTTGTCCTTAATTATTTTTCTCCTATCACATGTCTTCACACATTTTCTTTCATCCATTTTTTCATTTATTACAAGAAAACAAAAATCTATTTCTAACCTATTTATTATTTTTAACTAATTGTTTGTTATTCGTGAATTAGTTATTTGAAGTTTATAATAAAGATCAGAGGGAGTAATGTTGAAGCACATTTATTTATGCATTAGTTTCTCTTCTTCTTTTTTTATGTGCAAATAATAAATATGAATCCTTAAAAAAAAATACTATGATATTTCTAGTGTTTTCCCAAAAATCTTTGCATTAATTGTAGCAATCAAAATTATGAACAGGTTAAATTCACTACTAAAAGAAAATACCCAAAAAAGTAATGATTTTTTTTGTTCTTCTGATGATTAGTTTGATATATATACCTCTGCAAATTCTTGCGAAACACTTGCTGTTGCTTGATTTTCTGAATCCCCACTTTTAGGCTCTTCTTGAATTTGATTAGTTTCTGCAATAGAATTTTTGATATCATACTAATATTCATAAAAGTAGCTAGCAATTATCAAAATACTTTTCCTGGATTTATACCTTGATATTTTGGGCAATCTTTCACTTCACATTGCAGATCCTTAAAATCAATCCCCTCACAAATAGAAATAAGCTTTGGGAGTTTTCCAAATGTTACCTTTGACAGTTTTGGAAATACTTCTCCCCTTTTTGCCATCTTCTGCATATTAGCTTGTTTGCATATAAATATTTGCTCAAGCTCTGAGGCTTCTTCTATTTTCAAAACCTTCAACTTTGGAAACAGCCCACATGTTGAGATAGAGAAGAGGAATTTCAAGCTATTACAACACTTGATGTTAATTTCCTTTAATTCTGGGAAACCAAGTTGATGCAAATGATCCCCATCACTCTCTTCAATGATGTCAACCAAGTCGTCACATTCTTTTATACTTAAATAGGATAATTGTGGGAGGTTTTTCACTATTGAGACACAGAATATTGCTGTTAGCTTTTTGCATGCTACGATGTTTAGTCTGCAAAGACTGGGGAGGCTCAAAATATATTTGGGACCCCTGAATATATGCCTCAACTCACTTAGATTTTCCAACCACATCGTTGCAATGCTTAGTGTCATGAATGGACCTTCAATTTTCACTCCTTCCAAATTAAGAACCTCTTCTATTTTGGAGTCTCTTACCATAAGAGTTGTCAGCTTCTGCATATCCTTGATAATTTTCATCAGGTCCTAATAAAAATAAATCAATTCAAAATTTCAGCATGAATCAAATTACCACATTAACAAATTGTGAAAAATCCAATACTGTTATTAATGTATAGATGTCTCAACATGCATTGAGTTATATAAAGAGAAACTTTATTTATGGATGCCTGGAATGCTTACAAGTTAAAGACACATATATTGATTATACCTAATTATATCGACTTGAAATCATAAAATGTATATATACATAAGAAGCTAATTAATCCATAGTTAATTTTTCCTATAGATAAACTTATATATGGCGCAGGTTTCTTCCAAACTATTAGAAAATTTTTAAAATCTTGAGGTCATTGCTTTTTTCAGTTAACATCTTGTGTAAGAATCTGATTAAAAAAATTACATCTCATGCAATAGTCTGATGGAAAAAAATTGCTTTTTTTTTCTAAATTAAAACTAAATTGTTAATTTCTATGAATGAAAATTCAGTAATTTTTTTGGCCAAAAAAATTGAGTAATTTCATGTCTTGACATGAAAAGTTTTCATGCATGAAAAACGTGTTCTTAGTGTTCAAGTTTAAATGCTAAGTGATCCCGTTGTGATGAGAAGAAAATTTCCAAGAAGAAAAGGTAAAATAAACAAAGTAATACATATGGACCAGTTATCTTTCAAGCTATTTAGCAGAAATATCTAAATTTTTAAGGTCATTGTTTTTTTTTAGTTAACATCTCCTGCAAGATTTTGATTAAAGGCGCGCATGCGCACATATATATTGATGAAAAGCAAATGTTTATAAATGAAAAATAAATTATAAATTTTTATGTATGAAATGTCTTGACATGAAAATTTTGTAAGCATGAAAATATGTTCTTGATGTTCAAGTTTAAATGCTAAGCAATCCAAATAAACAGAGCAACATGCAGATCATAGAACAAGAAGTCAAATGTGTTACCTTTGGAGCTTTCACATTCAATTGTATTCCTTGTAAATAAGCCACCAAATCTGGAAAAGATCTTCCGTTGAACTCTTGAAGATCCCCCAAATCAATGCTTTGTAGAGGCGGAAAGCAGAGGTGATATTTTTTGGCACCAATATTGTTGATTAACTTTGGTACATCTACAAGTTTTAGTGTTTCCAAAGCAGGGAGATGAATTGTATTTGATAAACGATCTCCATCATCATATTTCCCAAAAATGTATTTCAACTCAGCAGCTGTCCAGATACTCAAAGATTTTAATTTTTGAAGAGTACCAAAAAGAGACAGGGGAAATATAAACTCCAGCTTGTTGCAATTGACGATACTTAGATCCTCCAGTTTTGGGAAAATGGAGCTATAGTTCATGTCATGATGATGATTATTAGAATCATCTTCAACCACATTAACTAATTCCTCACAATTCCTTACTTGTAATTGAGACAACTGTGATAGGTTTCTGCAAGCAGAGACAGAGAACAAAATCTTCAACTTCTGGTTTCCCGAGATTGTTATTTGTTTTAGATTGTGGAAGTTGAGAACATGTTGAAAGCCCACACTTGGAGTGAGTAGTGGTATTTCGAGATTAACAATCTCTTGTATTTCAGATTCCTTTGCTCCCTCACTTCTCACATCTTCCATGTGCTTCTTAATTTCCTACAACACGTTTTCACAAAAAGGCAATTCAAAATTTAAAATAATGTTCTCTATTTTGATCCATGTGCTCATGAAATACATACACATTCACCCACAAAACACAAACACACTATATTATTTTTGGGAAATATTTTAAATTCAAATTTGAAATCTTTATAGAAGTAAAGCCGAATCACTTTGACATAATTAATTGTACATGTCTCCATAGGAAAATTATATGAAAGTCTTCATTGTTTTGAGAATGTTTAAATATTTTGTTAGCAATATGTAATTTATTACATATAATCTTTATACAAAATAAAAATATTGATAAACTGCACTTTGATTTAAACTGAAATAAAAAGATCAGAGTTAGAGAAGTTGACATTAAATTTAGTGTAATAATTAATATATTACTTCACTTTATCTAAAACTCTGAGGTACAAAATAGACATCAAATTTTAAACCAATAGAATTTCTTTTTGGCCATTCAAAAACGGTTAGGGTGCATGTAACCCCACCATATATAATATCTGATAATATATGTAATCTAAAGGCTTATCTTATTAATCAATATTAGAGTTGTAGGAAAATCGAGTAATTACGTGAGTATAAAATTAAGAAATTGGTATAGATTTAACATTTTATAAAAATATTATTACAATTTTGTATAAAATATATAAATAAGTTAAGACTGTCAAAATTTAATCTTATCATTTTTCAGTTGTAATTTGTAAACTATGGTTATAAAGCATAATTTTTCTCACTTTTTTCGCTACAGTTATGAACTATTCAAATCAAATTTAATAGTTTAAATTTCTTTAGGTATTTTTTAAGTAAGATTATAATAATATTTAAGAAGACGTTAGTTTTTATATAATGATGACAAAGTTGAAAGAAGAGCAGAGGAGGTTCCCCTGCCTCAGTTCATCCGTAATTTTGGGGCATAAAAGAAGACATCAAACAAATACAACTATTCCAAAATAATGAATATTAAATTAGGAGTGTGAGCATTTTAAAGATCAAATTGTTTTAGTTCGATTCTCGTTAGGTACCAGCTAAAATAATTCCAAAAAAAACTAATTGAAAATGAACAGAATTATTATATACAAGCAAGACGGAAGTCATACGTGTTTGTCTTCCACGAGTATAAAATAATCCTTATACAAGATACATAAAAATATTGATAAATTGCATTTTGACATAAACTGAAAGCCGCATGACCCATAATAGTTATATGCAAAAGTTTAAAGTTAAAATTTTAAAAGAGAATAAATAGATAAAATATATTTTCATGCCAAAAAAAAAAAATAGAGCAAGATTGAGACGCTATTAAATAATGAATTAAAAATAGTTACGTACCTTTGGTGCTTCCACAATCTGTAGAGATGGGCACCCGGTTGATGTTTTTTGATACCAATGCTGATCATATTTGGCACATCATTGAGGTATAGTGATTCCAATGCTGGAAGATGAATGTGAGGCTCATTATTTTCATGCTCATTTGATAGACACTCTTCATCATCGTATTTTCCAAAAAGATATTTCAGCTCATGAGCTTCCCAAATACCTATATAATTTAATTTTTGAAGACCTCCGGAAAGAGTGGATGGAAATATAAATTCCAATTTATTGCATTTCCGGACTTGGAGGCTCTGTAGTTTTGGGAAGATGGAGGTGCAGTTGAGATGGACATCATCATCCTCTGCCTCATTTGTTATAATGTGCTTCAATTCTTCACAGTCCCTAACATACAGATACTCCAACATGATGGTTGTGGCAATGGATACACTGAATAGTGACTTTAATTTTGAACATCCAACAAGCATCATCTCCCTTATATTTTGTAGGCTCAATGGTTGTCTCATAAGACACTCAGCTGAATGAAATGTTTCAATCCTTTCACTCAATACATGTGATTCCTACAACCAATCACTTCTCTTAGATTCAACCTAGTTATATAACTAATTACTTTCTATCATATGATCATATATCTCAATAACAATCCCATTATAACCATAGATGAACCGAAAAAGAATTAATGTATCAGAAAATACATTAAATATAAAGAAGTTTGTCAAGCATCATGTATCATAGGACTCTGATTTTTAACGCATTCAACTGGTAACATCATGCCCACACTACTAGTCAAATAATAGAAAATAAAATAAAAATAAAAATCGCGTGTGTGCAGAACCAAGATCCCTACTCATGTTAATGACATGCATGTTATCACTATTCACGTGTGCGTGTGAATTTTTATTTTTCTCTTTAATTTTTACTGAAATAAAAAATCGAGTGTGTGTAGTTCCAACCCAAGACGAAAGCCGTGCGTGTTTGTGTTTTGATAGCATATATATTCCTTAATTTAGTGCACTTAAGAAAATAATTAATATAACTGCTGCATGAATCCTGATGAAGACTTATTTTATTGATAAATATTACAGTTGTAGAAAAATTGAGTAATTACAAAACATAAAATTACTTTTTTCAATTTAATGCATAGAAGAATTCCTTTTTTTTTAATCGCTTGTGGTATCCGATTTTACATTTGATTTGTATTCTTTCAAGATTCTTAAATTTACTTCACTAGAAATAATTTTATTTTTTTTCCAAGAGCTTTCTGTCATGTACACAAACTAAAAAAAAAAATCATTAATTGGGTCAAAATCTGTACTTAAATATAGACTAATTTTTTGAGAAAAATTAATATTAATTATTAATTAAATTTTTATACAGAAAATATTATTTAAATGACTGTTTTTATCAAAACTTAATACTGATGAACCGATGCATAAAATTATAACAACATAAAAAATTAAAAATATGTATAAAGAAAAAAAGACTATAAATATGGCCTATCATGACTCTCATATAAATTAAACGAAAAGAACAAACAAGTAAAAACAAACATGACTTATCATTTTTTTCCTCTCACAGTTTCTCTAAAGATCAGTTTACTTACTTCGTCGTCACATTAGAAGTGCCATGTCACACTTTCAATAAAACCAATCAATTGGCAATAGTTGTATTACCACATCTCCCCTGTGTTATTAGATCTACATGCCTTAAAAAATAAAATGTGATTTATAAGGTATTCAACTAATAACTTCCATGCCCCTGATACTAGTCAAATAATAGAAAAATAATAAAATAAAAAAATAATAAAACATTGAATTAACCAAAATTCCTGCTCATGTTAATCATATGCTACCTATTATCACTATTCGTGCGTGCGTGTGAGTATTTTACCTTTGTCTTTAATTTTTACTGCAATAAAAAGATTAATGTTGGACAAATTGACATTAAATTTAGTGTAATTAAAATATCACGTCAGTTTATTGAAATTTCTGAGATACAAAAATAGATCTCAAATTTTAAATCGAGAATATGAAATGTTGGTATATCAATATGCATCAAACAAATATAAATAGTCCAAAATAATGAATATTAAGTTGAGACTATGAGCATTTTAAATATCAAAAGAAAACTATTTAAACAAGCGGAATTTCTTTTCCGCCATTCAGAAAGGACGCAGGTAGCCCCACAACATCCAAGGAGTTAAATATAGACTACTTTTTTAAGAAAAATTAATGTTAAATATTAATTAAATTTTGTGATAAAGACAATATTGATTAAATTACGCTGGTCAAAAAAATATTGATTAAATTACTGTAAAGGTGCACTTTATCAAAACTAAACACTAAGGAAACCATACATAAAATTATAATAACACAAAAACATGAAAATATATGTAAATAAAAGGGAAAAAAAGAGAGAATATAAACCGTTCATATACGATATGCTAAAATGGAAGTTTAATTAATAGAATAACACCTTTGGACAAAAAGAGCAAGACTAGAGTAGCATACCTGTGAGATTGTGGGCTCTTTTAGCAGTGTGCCATTGGAAACTCCAATATTAGTATCTGTAGTTGGGCCCAAAAAACAACACCTGTGAGCCCACGAGAATGAACTCATCTTAAAGTTCTTAGGTCTCTCCTTTGAATCTTCTTTCGAAACTTGAGGTGGTGGCCTTAGCACATATCTCTTGCATTTTTGAAATATGTTAATGAAACTTGGTACTCCAAAAAGTCTCACTTCTGCTAGCGAAGGGAGCATTTTGATTTCCTGTTGCAGAACTTGACCTCTATATTCACTGAATATGTATTCTAGCTTTGCACAGTCACGTATATATAGATATTTCAAATTGGGAAGGTCTCCAGCTAGAAGGAATGAAGATACCTTTTCTAATTTGCCACATTTTTAATTTAAGAGACTCTAATGCCGGAAACAATAAGCCATCACTTTTTTGATCATCAACAACCCTCATTTCTTCTTCCGACCTCTTATCTGCAATTAAACTTTTCAATTCTGCAAAATATTCAACTACTAATTCTTCCAATCGCCCAAGACTTTGAGCAATAGAGGGTTTGAAAATTGATGGTTGGAACATTGGGCAATCTTTCAATTTCAATACCTTCAAATGAGGTAGTTTGAGAGTCTCATCTAAGAATATGTTTTGCAGTTTCCTACAACCCTCTAACTTTAAAATCTGTAACTTCTCAAGAAAGCCTGAGGCATAGCACCCCCACATAATTCTTTTACATCCACACTATACAGATGCAACTCAATCAAGTTTGAGAAGACTGTCATGTTACAACAGTGACACTTATTACTATCAATAACGCACTCTATGTCAGCCCATTCATACAAGTAAAGCTTCATTAAATTATCCATGCCTTCGTCTTCCATAGGAATAATGTCAGGGACAAGACTTTTCCACCCTGTTTGTCCTAAATTTCCTAGCTCAAGAACTTCTGCTCTTCCCACAAGGTACTTAAACATGGCTTCTGATATTAAATGTTTCATATGTTCTGAATTGAAGCATTTTGATAAGCCATTATCATCATTAGTAGTAAAACTTTTCAAGCCATCACAAGCAATAAAAAAAACCTGCAATGTAGAAGGAGATATATTAGAGGCAATTTCATCTTCAATTTCTTTGTCATCCTCTGGCTTCCAATCTTTGACATTGTCATTCTCGACGAAATACAATTCTTCCAATTGTGAACATTTTTCAATCACTTCAAAAGGATTGTTCTTTTGAATCTCACACTTCCTTAGCCCCAACCATCTCAACTTCTCTAGTTTCTTGATGTCTTTGGGCAATTCAATAATTAGACAATTTTTTAACTCAAGTGTCACAAGACTTTGTAGACTCTTCAAAACTGAGATGTCGCCTAGTTCCCAACCATCCAAAATAAGAGTGTGAATATTCTTTAATGAAAGAAGTGACTGCGACAATGATGGAGTGGGAGCCTTTCTACCGTGTTCACTGAGTAAAAACAGGATTTTAAGCCTGGACATTCGTGCAAAAAATGCATTTGAGTCTTTGACCAGATCACTTCCACTTATCCAAAGAAAGAGAATCTCAAGTTCTGTATCATCAAACTTATCAGGAAAATCATAGGCACTCCAAAACGCATATCGCTTGTTTGCTTTTAAAGTCATTCTTGAATCCATGATCACTTGAATATCTTCCTTTGCTATCCAATGGGCCACTTCACGAACCAAGTCATGCATTTTTATACATTCTTTCTTTTCAACTTTCAGTAGCAAAGAAGAAGCTATGAGTTTATTTTTCACTCCAAGTGCTTGGCTTCTTGCTGCACAATATTCTTCAAATTCCCCAAAAATTCCTATACCAAGTCTAAAAATAAGATTTATAGGAATTTCATAGTCTTCCGGAAAAATAGAACAAACCAAAAAAAGCCTTCGGGCCTTCTCATCATTTAAATTATCATAACTTAATTTCAAGCATTTATAAACAGTCACCAAATCTCTATCAATATCAACAAATGGCTTAGAATTTTTTAAGGCTGTCAAAGCTGCATTCCATTCAGCAATGGGCCAACTTCTTAATGTACTAGCTAGTGCTATGATCGCAACTGGTAATCCCCCACTCTCCTTCACAAAAGCTCGCGCAAGACCCTTCACATCATTACTTAAAGAACCATCATCATCACTTGTAGCATGAAACAGAAAAAGATGCAATGCATCCTCTTTGTCCAATATTTGTAGTTGAACTATTGGTTGGCATCTCATTTCTCGACAAACGCTTAAATAGCGAGTGGTTATCAAAACATAGCAGTTCTTTTGATCAAGTCCAGATGGAATCCCAATGACTGTAAGATCTAGCTTCTCCCAGACATCATCTAATATTATAAGCGATTTTCTTTCATTTTTAGAAATTCTAGACCACAAAAGCTTGGAGTGATCTTCTTGAACTCTATCCTCTAAATGCAAACCTAATTGCCTTGCAATTTCACCTCGAATCTTGTTAACATCCGGAGGGTTGGACACAACAACAAAGATGACTTCCTCAAACACTTTGGATTCTTCAACTTGTTTGCCCACTTGTGTTGCCAATGTGGTTTTGCCCGTTCCCCCCATTCCTTGCAACCCAATCATGTGATGATTTCCACCTCCTAATGCTTCCACAAGTTGGTTGAATTTTGACTTTCTACTCTCAAAGTCAATGTAGTCTTTTGAAGCGTGGTACTTCATACCTGGAAGTTCACCTGGACGAGCCACTCTTTCAAAGTTATATCTTTGGATGTGATCTTTAATGATTACCGTCCTCTTTGCCAAACTCTTCCCTTGCTGGTATTTCCAATAAGGACACCAACCATAAGACCATGTTTGCTTGATTTTAGTGTTCTTTTGAATTAGATTATCAGCTTCCTCGATCCAATTTTGAACTTCATCTTCAATTTGGTTCTCATTTCGTTGGGCATCTTCAATATCTTTTAGTACTTTTTTCTGCTTTGCAGCCAAACTGTTGTTTTCTATCACAAAGTTATGAACGTGATAATCAAAATCAAGAAAATACCTAGCCTCCTTGATGGTTTTATCCATTAATCTCTGGAAAATACTTGTCGCAGCACTTTCTCCAATGCTCGTCATCTAAAATGAACATGATACCATCACAGTTAAGAGCCTCTTTATTTGTCTACTGTAACACTATAACTTAACAAAAATTATATATGCATTCAATTAATCAAACATAATTTACAGAAAAAGAAAAAAAAAAACTCCTACTTGCTTAGCTTTATGATATTTATTAATTATTAATTAATTTTTACTTTGCAGTCTTTTTTGAAATATTAAAGTCAATGATCACAATGTATAAAAAAAAAAAAAAAACAGATCCATTATGCAGAGGTAAAAAAAAATTACATTTAAACTTTCTAGGTTGTTATACAAGTCGTTATCTATATATAGTTAATCTAGGTTCTGTAGGTTGATGAAGTTTAATTTCATTATTGAATTGACCTTAAAATTTACATAAATACTGTTTAAATTAAAGTGTGCTAAGAAAGAGGAAAACCTTTGACTATTTTTTTAAGGATAAAAAATAAATGATATAAATTTACATGACTAAAATGAAACATGATATATAATTAAGATACATGACTTTTGTTTATATTATTATATGAAAGTAAAAAGGAAAAGAAAAAACAAACCAATCGGAAAATTGGTAAACAGATTACAGACATCATTTGTTGAAGACATCTAACGATCATACTACATTTAATCAATATCGCTCGCTATTTCCTATGAACTTTTCTTTATTTTGAAGGGTCCAATGTATAAATCTTAAGAAATTGGAGAGTGCGTTATCACTAAGTTACATCCAATTTAAAATTGGCCTGCAGCATATTTACGAATCAAGTCAATGCTCAGTATCACCATCACATGCATCAAGTCAATGGACCAGCTCTCACTATTAATTTGCTAGTATTTTGTTGTCTTATTTATGTGATCATTACTTAAATAAAATAAAATTTTTGGGATTTCATTCACACTTGAATTTATATATTTTAGCTCTCATCATGGACAAGCTAATAAAAAATGCATATGAAATAAAAAATATAGCAAATAACAAATAGGGACGTTAACAGTAAAATGGAGACAGTCAAAGATATACTCACCTTTTTTCCTCTCTGGAGATTTCAAAGCCGTTCGATGATGCCTTGGACGCGGGACAGGGAAGTGTTTTTTTTTTTTTTTGGTCTTTTTTCTTTAAATTTTTAGATGCACAATGCGATCAAATAACCAAAAGCCATTATGAAGAACGCAAATACGAACAAACTGTAAAACAAAAAGATAAACTTATTAGATATGCATGCAATTAATCAAACGTAATTTTTTTTTTAAAAAAAAGAAAACTCCAACTTGCTTAGCTTTATGATATTTATTAATTATTAATTAATTTTTATTTTGAAATCTTTTTTGAAATATTAAAATCAATTATCATAATGTATGGGGAAAAAAAACAGATTCACTGTGCATAGGCAAAAAAAAAATTACATTTAAATTTAGGTTGTTATCCAAGTCGTTATCTATAGAGTTAATCTAGGTCTGTCGGTTGATGAAGTTTAATTTCATCATTGAATTGACCTTAAAATTTATATACATACTGTTTAAATTAAAGTTTGCTAAGAAAAAGGAATACCTTTGATTTTTTTTAAGGATAAAAAATAAATTTTATAAAATTACATGACTAAAATGAAACATGATATATAATTAAGATACATCACTTTTGTTTTTATTATTATATGAAAGTAAAAAAGAAAAGAAAACACAAACCAATCGGAAAATTGGTAAACAGTTTACAGAGATCAATTTGTTGAGGACATCTAATTATCATACAACATTTAATCAATATCGCTCGCTATTTTCTATGACCTTTTCTTTATGTTGAAGAGGTACAATGTATACTCCTCTGGTCCTATTTATAAGGCAGAGAGAGAAGGTTTTTTTTGTCCTATTTATAAGTCACTTCATTAACTTTTCAGTGTAAATGTACTATTTTGTCCTTCATTTATTATAGTGTAAGTAGTTATCTTTTTTAAAAGGAGTATATATATTAAATAGGGGTAAAGTTGAAAAGTTGCTATATTTTAATGGAGAGTTAATGCAATTTAAGGTTTTCCTTGGTCTGTGTGAAACATGTTAGAAGTGCCTTATAAATAGGACCAGAGGAGTATATCTTAAGAAATTGGAGATTGTATTATCACTAATTTACATCTAATTTAAAATTGGCCTGCATATTTAATGGAAAATTCCTCCACTCAAAAATTTTGACGAATCAAGTCAATGCTCAATATCACCATCACACGCATCAAGTCAATGGACAAGCTCTCAATATTAACTTGCTAGTATTTTGTTGTCTTATTTATGTGATCATTCATAAAATAAAATTTTTGGGATTTCATTCACACTTTAATTTATATATTTTAGCTCTCATAATTGGTCGAGTCATGGACAAGCTAATAAAAAAATGCATATTAAATGAAAAATAAAACAAATAACAAATGGGGACATTAACAGTAAAACGGAGACAATCAGAGACATACTTACCTTTTTTCCTCTCTGGAGATTTCAAAGCCGTTGGATGATGCCTTGCACGCAGGACAGAGAAGTGTTTTTTTTTTTTTTTTTTTTTTTTTAATTTTTAGATGCGCAATGCGATCAAACAACCAAAAGCCACTATGAAGAACGTAAATACGAACAAACTGCAAAATAAAAAGATAAACTTATTAGTAATGCAAGGCAATTGGAGTGACATCAAGTATGAGATTTACAACTAAATTTTGACAATAGATGATCGATCTAATAATGGGGTGAGGATGTTAAGAATATATAGAGATAAATGACAATACGACATATTGAAACGTTATGTCCTTCTACTTTTTATTTTTCTTTGAAAAATTTGAAGATAAAAAATAAAGTAAATAATGATAAGAATAATAACTTTGATGAGAATAAATTCTTTTGATTTTATTCCATCACTTATTAGATGAAAAAATTTATTCTGTTGTTTGGATAAGAAGGTTTTAACTTTACGCACTTTTACATGTGATTGGATTAGAGGTTAGAAAATCAATTTTGAATAAAACTGATTCATAGGTATCGCCTTGAGAAAGGATTTGTTTATAATTGACTTATGACATTGATTTATAAAATTGGTTTTGGCTATAAATGAAAATAAGTATCATTGAAAAGCCAAAATCTTAGGGCCTGTTTATTTCTGCCTTTCATTTTTTCTCCCAAAACAATTTTATAAAACAAGGTTTGGAAACGTAAAACCCAAAAAAAAAAAAAAGCTTTGATAATTGTTCAGAAAAATTGCATTTTAAAATAAACATATTGAGACTAGAGGAGTGAAACTTTGATGAGAACTCAAATCTTCAAATGGAGAAAAAGCCATCGAGCGTGAAAGAAAGGATTTCCCAATTTTCCTAAACAAACCAAAAAGAAGAAATACAGAAATAAAAACAAGTAAAGAACTAGAAATTTTGTTGGCTTTTTAGCTTTTCAAAAATATCTATCTTTTTATTTTTTTTATAAAGACTTACCTAAAAACAAATTACCAAATAAGTTTTTTTTTATTTTGTAAAAAGTAAAAAACATTTTTAAAATAAGAAAACAAACAAGCTTTTAGTTTTTTCAAAATCAATCCAGGACCATAGTTTTTACGTCAATGAGAGAGGGCTTCTAATATCAAAGGAAATGATTTTGTCAAGATTTTACGTCGATAAAAAACACAACGTATTCTACGTGGTTACACAAAGAAACCAATGTAGAAACGTCTATTAACTTATGATTAAAAAAAAAAAAACAGAAACAACCCTGTTTTTGTAGAAGAGAGACATACTTATAACATAAACGAAAAGTAAACAAGAGATAAAAAGAAAAAGTAATTAATGAACTTACCTGTATTCGCAGATTGTAAATTGCTTAACGTTGTCTTTAACAAAAGATCACTTTGTGAAGAACGAAGGATTTGACAAAATGAGCGGATGAATCAACTTAACGTACTTTCCAGGAAAACAGAGCACAGAGCACTGCGAAATTTGCAGTTATGTGACTTCGACGATGAAAGAGTCATTGCTGCTGGCCACAATGATCATCACGAGTCGGATACGACGAGCATGTCTTGTGGTGGGGACCACCAGAAGAACGGCCCTGTCATTGATCCATAATCCGCATGAGCCCTCCCACAGGTGGAACCAATTTGTGGATATTTTTTAAAAATATTCTCTCACATGTGAAATTGTACATTTTTAATTATAAAAAAAAAGGGAAATGACAAGTAAAACAGGTGGAAAATGTCAAGCAAAAAAGAAACTTAAAAATGTGATGCTACAAATCAAATCAAGCACTTAACGCCTTAAAATTATGAAGAAAGTAGTGTCTGATTTGTTATTTTGTAAATATAGTTAAATCATTAAAATGTTTTTATATTAAAAAGTTTATTAACAAATTGTAAACTAGTAATAATAAGTGTCAAATAATAAAAGACAAGAAATATATTAACAATGATAAATTATTTATTAACAAGTTATGAATTGATAATAATAAATACTGAACATCTAATGACACAAAATATATTGATAATGATAAATTTGATAGCTTTTTTCTTTCCAAATCTGATACAAGGGATTTTAATCATTTAAATATATTCACAAAATATCATATCATGGTCTAACTCCTTCTATGTTACAACTGACTGGGCCAGGTCTCTCTCCTTGAGAGTTTTTTCTCTCGTTGTGAGAGTGTGAGGTGCCGTCATCCTTGGCGGCGTGAGTGTATGGACTCCACCCACTGCGGTGTTCCGATAAAGTTTTGTCTCAGCTCCTACTGTGGGTTCTGAGATTTGTGAGCTGTAAGAGTAGTGTGCTTCCAGTTTCGTTTAGAGCATCTAGCTCTGGTGATCGGAGGTGGGAGGTTAGGAGGGAGGGGAAACGATGGCGAAGAAGAATCATTCTTCAAGTAGTCGGGGCCCGAGACTGAATGTGGTATGGAAGGAGGATGAAGTTTACGCTAGTACTAATCCTATGCTTATTGGCAAAGTCATTTCGGAGAAGGGGATTAGTAAGCAATCGGTGATAGCGACAATCCGTAAGGGATGGAACCTAAAGGAAGATACAGAACTTGTTGAAATGGGTGATGATTTAATTGTCTTCACCTTTGCTAATATGCAGGATAAATTTCGTCTGCTTAAGGGGCGACCCTGGTCTATTCAAGGTGCGTTGATGAGTATTCAGAATTGGTCCGAGTTGAGGGTCGTGGATGAAGTCTCTTTTAACAAAACACCGTTCTGGGTTCAGTTCCATAACATACCTCTTGGTATTTTAGAACTTAAAGAAAATATTTGCCGTATGGGGAACTTAGTTGGAGACTTGGTCTGGTATGAGAAACCAAAAGCAGATGGTAAATACCATCGAAGCTTCGGCCGTGCTAGGGTGCTGGTTGATATTAACGATCCTTTGGTCTATGGATTCTGGGTTGATAGACCGGGAAACTCTGAAGTTTGGGTCCATGTGAAATATGAACGACTCCAATCATTCTGCTACCAGTATGGTTTAATCGAACATGATAGTCGAACCTGTAGGAGGGAAATGGTGGTAAATGAAAAGGGGGAAAATGTATATGGCCCTTGGCTCTCTGCAGGTGCAGAAAGGGATAGAGAAGATGCGATGGTCAAATATGCGGCGGAGTGGCGTGAGGAAGATGGTCGGAAGACGTCGGCGCGTGCTATGCATAACCAGAAGGTGCGTGAGTGGAATAAAGACAAATTCAGTTACGCAAACAATAATAGTGCGCGTCAATCGGGTCAGCTGGTACAGGGACGTTTGGGATGGAAGGAAGAGCCAGCTCATCATGTTGACGGAGGGGAGGTTGACACCAAGAAATCTGGAATTGGGCCTTGTGTGCCTAAAGGAGTCCAAAGTCCCAAGATGCGGATTAACCCAATTATTGGGAAAAGCTCTCCTATTGGGAGTCTGTTAAGTAAAAGCCCAAACCAGGAGGGATCATTCTCTCCAATGGATAAAAAAACTGTTGACAGAGATGTGGAGTCAGTAGTGTTGGAAAAAGCTTTGACTCCTATTTCACGGTTGTCTCCAATTTTTGATGTTGCTAGGAAACTTAATAAAGTCAATCTAAAGAGAGGAAACAATGAACTGGAGTCTCCAGTGACAGTGAAAAGAAGAAAACTCTTTAGCTCTTCAGAGGCCAAAGCCAGAAGTAGTGTCGAATCCAAAGCTCCTCATAAAAGCCCCCGTCAAAAGAGCTTTCGTAAATTGAAGCAAAGCTTGAGGCGTAAATCAGGTATTATTCCTAAACCATCTGATGATCAATCTAGAGGGGGAGAAATTGATTTTCCAGAGAGTTGGTTTGCCTTTAATGGAAATAATAGAAATTGTGATTCTACTGATATGGCTGAAGGTTCTGGTGGCTGTCCTACATCAGCCACCCAAGGGCCATGAGCATACTCGCTTGGAACTGCCAAGGGTTGGGGGTACCTTTGGCAGTTAAAAGCCTCAAAGAAGAGGTAAAGAAAAATAAACCTCAGATAGTTTTCTTAATGGAAACTAAGAAAAAAGAAAAATATTTGGAGTGTATTAGAAGAGAATGTCACTTTGATGAAAGTTGGTATGTCCCCCCCATTGGTAAATCTGGAGGGCTGGCTCTCTGGTGGATTGACTCAGTTGTAATTAACATTTTGAGTAGTTCTAAAAATATAATTCATACTTCTATCTGCTCTACTAAGTGTGATTTACCGAAGCATGTTTCTTTTATTTATGGGCCACCAAAAGAATGTGACCGGCTAAGAGTATGGGACAAGGTGCGTAATATAGCGGGAGGTATTACAAACTCTTGGCTCTGCTTAGGCGACTTCAATGATCTTCTATCTCAACAGGAGAAACAAGGAGGTAACCCACACACTATCAGAAGAGTGCTTAATTTTCAACAATTTGTCTCTGACTGTGAGCTAATGGGTATTGAAGCTAAAGGTGCAAGATTCACTTGATGTAATCAAAGAATTGGCAGTGACCATGTTAAAGAAAGGTTAGATCGTGCTCTCTGTAATGGTGAGTTTAAAGAAGCTTTTCCAAAAGCCCTTGCTTTTCACCTAGAACCTGTTGCCTCTGATCATCATATGCTTCTAGTGGTTCTTTGATATGTAGATATTAGGACTCTAAAAGCCTTCAAATTTGAGGCTGTCTGGGCTTCTCATCTAGAGTTCGTGGATATAATAAAAGACTGTTGGCAGATAGAAGATGTTGAGGGATCTAATGGGGTGGTATTTTTTATTAACTGTCTTAACAGTTGCAGAGTTAAACTTATTAAATGGAGCAAAGAGAAGTTTCCAAACAATAGGAAACTTATTGCCAATTTGATAGCAAAAATTGAAGATCTAAAGGCTGAAGTTTATACAGCTGAATCAAAGTGTAATATTGAGCGTTTGACCTCTGAGTTAGAATCAGTGTGGCAAAGGGAAGAAGTTTATTGGTGGCAAAGAAGTAGATCTAATTGGCTGCAAGCTGGTGATTCAAACACTAAATTCTTCCATAGAACTACTGTGGTTCGAAGGCAACGGAATTTAATTGTTAAGCTGAAAGACAATCTGGATAACTGGATTGAGAAAGAAGATGAAATAGAGAGTTTAATTGCAGATTTCTACTCTTCTCTCTTTACCAGCAGCCCCCAAGGCCACTTTGATATAGTCATCTATTACATTCAACCAAGAATCTCAGATTTCCAGAACCAATTGCTAACTCGGCCTATCTCAGAAATAGAGGTGAAAGAGGCTACTTTCCAGCTTGGAGCTTTTAAGGCACCGGGCCCTGATGGATTCAATGGTCACTTTTACCAAGTTTCCTGGAATGAGGTTAGAGTTTCTCTTCTCAAAATGGCTAGAAGTTTCTTTGAAAATGGTGATTTTGTGGGTCCTTTAAATGAAACAAACTTGATCTTAATACCCAAAGTTGATGCTCCTGAAATGGTCTCTCAATTTAGGCCAATTAGCTTATGTAATTTTGCTTATAAAATCATTTCTAAAGTTCTGGCTAATAGACTGAGAGTGGTTTTGGATAGCTGTATTTCTGAGCACCAAAGGGCTTTTGTCCCTAATAGACTTATCCAAGATAACAGTATAATTGTCCATGAAGCTTTCCATTATCTGAAAAATAAGAATTCCGGAGATAAATTTGAATTGGCTTTGAAGATGGACATGAATAAAGCCTATGATAGGTTGGAATGGAATTTTATTGAAGAGGTTATGCTAAAGATGAATTTTTGCTCTAAATGGGTTAACTGGATCATGAATTGTGTTCGTAGTGTAAAGTTTAATATCCAAATGTCAGGGAGAAAGATTGCTTCTGTTATTCCTCAGAGGGGTCTTAGACAGGGAGATCCTCTCTCTCCTTATCTGTTCATTTTGGCTTTTGAAGCTCTTTCCTCTATGATATCCTTCCATTCCAGCCATGGCAACTTAACTGGAATCAACATTACTAGAGGTGGCCCGATGATCACTCATAGTTTGTTTGCTGATGATACTATCATCTTTCTAAAGGCTAACTTAGATAATTGTAGCCTATTTATGAAATTGTTGCAGGATTATTGTAATGTTTTGAGACAGAGGGTGAATTATGATAAATCTAGCCTTTTCTTCTCAAAGAACACTCCGGATGAAGTGAGGACTGATATTGTGGAATGTTTGAATATTGCTGAGGTGGACAACCCAGGTAAATACCTAGGTTTACCTATCCTTTGGGGTAAATCTAAAAATGCTGCCTTAGCCTATGTCCGTGAGAAGATGGGTAGGAAAATGCAAGGATGGAGGAAGAAATGCTTATCTTTTGCTGGCCGTGAAACCATGATCAAAGCGGTAATAAGTGCTATTCCTATTTACCCAATGTCCTGTTTCAAATTTCCAAAAAAATCTTGTAATGCTCTGGATAGTTTGGTGTCTAATTTCTTTTGGGGTGATGTGGACGGTACTGGTAGAATCCACTGGACATCCTGGAAAGCTTTAACCAAATCTAAAAAGGAAGGAGGTTTGGGCTTTAAAGACTTTATGGGTTTTAATAATGCTTTACTTGCCAAAACTGCATGGCGTATTTTGCATAATCCTGACAGTCTCTGGGTTAGATTACTAAAGAGCATTTATTTTCCCAACTCCTCTTTCAT